TCACTACAATTATTTTAAACAATATGAATTGTGGCTGCATATAGTTGTGTAAACGACTTCAATTATATAAATATGCCTGAGTGAACTTAAGTGTGTGCAAAAACGGTAAGTAGATCAGCTCATTAGAATAAAGTGACATGTATGTCTAGGTTGACTAAAATATTACAACTTGTAAATATCTCAATCTATGTATTGACTCATTAAGCATTAAGTGAAATCTAAGCACTATTAAAATAATTTAGGCCCTCGTAAGTGATAAATAAGACCAATACAATCGTAAAAATTTTCTCCTTGAAAATGAGCGGATTGTTTCCTAAAACATTGTTGTATGTGCTAAACTTGTAGTCAAGCATTCCTAGGATAATTAAAGCAGATGTGAATGTGATAGTGTGATTTCCCTATTTTTACTTACTCCTTCAAATTACATCACCGAATCGACAAATCACGCCCCTAAAAACAAGTCCACGATTATGTAAAAGCACACAAAGCTCTTCGCCAGTCATTAACCCTTGCAGTGCTATTGCTGTTGTGCTTTGCTGAGATGCCCACTTATCCTTTGGTTTTAACTGTACTTCTCATCAGCTATGCCACCTTATGCTATGACCCCATAAAATTGGTGATTCTAGCGACGTGGCTTTTAAGGTTACACTGTAAATTTTTTTATCAATGGGTCATGAATTCAAATGGGCATGAATTTGATTTGTACAATTTGGTATGCATGACTTAGCTTTTATGAGACGGCGAAAACTGCACAAACCCAATCGCTATAGCTCATTACCACGGATGATGCCTCAACGTCCTATGAATAAATAAATTAAGCCCAGATCTCACCCCGCAATGAAAGCGGCAATGATGCACTCATTGTAGATGTAGTGACTAGATATTTCCGAAAATACTAATAGAAGGCGCCTAAAAGTGATAGTGTGTTGACGAACTACTACTGTCTTTGCTTACAAAACGATCTGAGCACTTGCATATTGACGCATAAGAAGATATTTAAATGTGTATTTACCTTTTTATACAGAAGCAGATGCACTTCTATGGGAGTCTCGTGTTGTTGAAACACCAGAGGACCCATCATCTCTTGTGGTTTTTCGCTTCCCTAAAAGTGCTGTGAGTACAAAACAATTGTATAAATTGATAATTTTCCCAACCTTGCTTGAACTACTGGATTAACTGCTTGATCAAAAGAGCGGTTGATATCTACATTATATGAGGAAGTTTTTTCTGCATTTGCATCAATAAGGTAAAAGTAAACACGATTGTTCCGTATGACCACCTCTTAAAAAGGACATGACAAAGTGTCTAAAATCCGGAATTAGAAATGAGAAGTGTAACGTTGACGGAGAATCCTGGGGCTACCCGTGCCGTATAAATGAATCTGAGTAGAAGCTTCTTAAATCCTCCTCTATTTATCGACTTTTCTACTACAAATGGGTAATTCCTATTGACGTAGGCATAACCAGTAATCAAATGTTAGGCTTTTGCCAAAGAGAGCAGTATCAGCCTAATTTATTAGGTAACTGATAGCAGTGTAGTTGCATTATCAGAGGAGATAGGGCAAATAAAATACTTACATCTAGTCAGATATATAGATCGTTGTGTTTTAAATTAGGGGATGTAAACATTGTTAGAAATAACGTTTAGAAACAGGAGG